AGGGATTAAAAGAGAAAGTGAGAAATTTTAGTCAGTACTGTGAAGGGTGTCAAGGGAAGGAGGGTCATCAGGACACAGCTTTGTATCACTGAGACCAGTAGATGGAAAGAGTGAAAAGGTTTAAGTTGAAAGTAATTATGTTATTTTATGCTAGTTATGGAGCATGCATTCCAGGAGGTACATTGCAAGAGGATGTCAGATACAGAATAGAACATTGGGGAAGGGGGAAAAGATTGATACATGGAAGTTTCACCTTGTGGTGGAACAAGGAGGGGAATAAAGTTCGAATACTGGCAGCCAGGAGTTCAGAATCCATGGATTGGAGCAAAGTATAAGTAGACGGGTATATTCTCAGCAGGGCAAATTATCAACAGTTGGAGAGATGTCCTTAGACTGAGGTAAAAGATAACACTGCTAAACATACTCTCTTAAGGTTAAATCTCTTGGAATGTTGTATCCTGTAAGATACCCAGGAGCCCCACCTCAGAGTAGGGAGACTTATATAAGCAGCCCTAGCCTCTACTGCTTAGTAAACAGCCTGGCACAAAATAGATGTTTAATAAATGTTTACTGCTTGATTAGTCTCTCTCATGAGCACACTACCAAATGACTATTGAATGTTTCAAACTAGGTATTCAAAAAGCATTTCAAAGCCCACATGTCCAAAACAGATCGTATATTTTAGCCTCACCAAGCACATTCCTTTTTAAACTTTCCCTATTTCTGTTGATGGAAACACAAATCTTTTGTTAGAGAATTTCAAAAACGGAGTCTTCCTTGATTTCTAACTCTTCCTTATTCCAAGTATTGAAACAGTTATTAAGTCTATTCATTTTACTTCTATGTCTCAAATACCTGTCCCCTTCTCAAAGAATGACCACTCTAGTACTTCTAGTGTGAACTATTATAATACCCTTCTGATTGATCTTAACCGAAAGTCTCTCCCCTCTCCAATTAAACTGCCACATGGCTACCAAACTGCTATCTTTAAAACATAGGTATGATTGTATCATACCCTTGGCTCAATACAAAGAAAAGACTTACAATTAAGAAGAATATAGTGATAAGAACCAAAGAAGCTCATATTTTCCCCAGTAAAGTTCTCATAAGGAAAAATGAAATAAAACCAAAGATAAACAGCAAAAAATATCTTCATCCATTCAAAGATTGCATAACAATACAAATAATTTGGGGTAGAAATACATTAAATTCAACAAAGAAACATGAGAAAACAGGCAGATGGAGAGTACAGTTGGGGAGCCATAAGCAAAACAAACTTTAACATCTGCAGGTGGATTATAAATCAAGAGAAAAAGAAGAGTAAGAACCAGTGATCAGGATTTTTGACTAGAGGAAGAGATGAGGGGAAGCAAAGTGAGATCAGACCACTTTAATAATAGATAATTAGCATTAATCACATTCCTTTTCTTTTACCACCCTCTTCATTGCAAACAGGGAGGAAGGTACAAAGAAAGGGAAAAGTAACACAAGGTAAAACACAATTCTCAATAATAACTGTACATGTGAATAAATAAACTCACTAATAAAATGTGGGAATTTGTTTTGCCTGAGTATGAGTATCATATAAAGGATTATTTTTTTCCTAATAGGAAAGGAAAAAAACCCAGGTGTTTGTTAATTTAAAAAACAAATTAAACAAAGCTTAAAAAAATTTCCATGGTTGTGGATGAATGCAAGTTCACAACAGAACATTTAAAAAAAAATACAAATAGATAATCTGACAAAGGAGACTTAGGAGATGGAATAAAGAAAAGAGTCACAAAAATCAATAGACATAGGATTCAAAATAATGACATTCCATTAAGTTAAACTATGTAGAAAGGTCAATTCATATTGAAGACAGAGGAAAGACTTATCTTAAATCTTTTGAACTATATAAACTGGGGTGGAGCCAAGATGGTGGAGTAAGAGCAGTGACTTGCTTGAGCTCTCCCCAAACTCCTCCAAATACTTGTAAAAAAATGGCTCTGAACTATACAAACTGAAAAACAATATGAAATCTAAATTTGAAACTACCTGCTCATATGACAAATTTAACATTTAATTACTTTTTCTGTACTGTTCTCTTATTATTTCATACTTTTATCTCTCCTCCTTGATAATAAACTACTGAAATGATTCTCATCACCCTCCAAATGACAATGATAGCTTAATAAAGACTTTTTTGATTGCTACAAGATTAAAAAAGCAATAACTCTTTAGTCTTCTATCCCTTGTTATCTGGCTAAAAGAAAAACAAAACGTTTTCAGGATCAGTATCATATATCAAAAGCTGGAATTACAAAGACTCTCCAATAGGTAATATCATCAAGAATTTCAAATGAATTAAAAAACAAATGTTTCACTATATGCAAGTTTTTCGTGTTTTATGAACCTCCAAAATAAAAACAAATTTAACACCTTTAATCCTGATCTCTCCAGAGTAAGTCACCATTCTACTTCAAACACTGAGTAAGTGAATTCTTCTCCTTAACAGGGAAACATGTTGCTGCCCATGTACAATTCCCAGAGCCTGGCACAATGCTTGGCACATGGTACATAATTATAAATGCTTACCAACTGACTGATTAACAAGCCCTGACATTTTTATTACCTCTACTGTGTATCTTAGATTGGCTGTCATCAAACCTCAATCCAGGTCCTCATCAATTTGCATTGAACTTGCAGAAATAATTTCATAATGGATCTCTAGTTCTTCTCTTCCAAATATTGCTGCTAACATAATTTTTCTAAACCACATCATTTTCATCATGTCATTTTTAGTCAAAAAACAATAATGCTTCTGTTGTCTATTATATCTGACCTAAACTATTCAACTCAGTCTTCAGGACGACGACCATATTATTACCTTCTTTCTAGTTATTCCCCTTTACCAGCTATTTTTCAGCTATTTTCAGTCAACCCAAATGATGTGCTAACTCTCACAAATGATTTACTTGTTCCCAAATTGATGTTTTTGTACATATAACTCACTCTCCCCGCAAGTCCCTTCACCTCATCTTTATCATTCTATATCCCTCATTCTCTTCAAACCTAGATTGTCTCATTTCTTTTAGGTTACTGACCCAATCAACCACTCCTCTGTTCTGTCCTCTAATACTTAACATTCTTAGTTCATACTGTATTCATTTGTATTTCATATTTGCTTTGCAAACAGCCTTTATTCTTTTCATAAAAGTGTATTTTATCATACCTGATGGTGAAAAACATTTCTTTAATATTATCCCAATATACATGACACAGTGCTGTGGTATATAAAAAGCAATTAATTTAAATACAATTTGATAATTAATAAAAAAACTGATACTCAATTATTCTCATTAAAAATAGAATTTTCTTTAGCCTCACTAGTTTGGTATAGGTGTAATATATCTACATATAGCAAGTGATATTTCAGGTACCATTTTCATTAATGTTTTAACCCAAAGATTCTCATTAAAATAGTTTCTAATCCCAAAATAAATTAAATATTATAGCCTAAAATGAGAAGTGGTGTCCTGTGATTAAAAGTAACACTAAAAAACTTCAACAAAAGATAAAGACTAATTCACAATAGGCCTAAGTTTCAATTTTGTTTAGAAAAATCAAAAAGCAATTTTTAATCTATCTACTCTTATGCTTATGAGGCATGATGGTACCAAATAAAAGGCTTCTTAGTTTTGGGAGGTTCAATAACTAATCAGGGAGTTTGGGGGCATATAGTTATTTCAAAGGATGAAAAGTGTTATTATTCTATGCAATTTTATTAAACAATTTACTGTTACCATGGAAAATTAAAACACTTCCAAAAAGTATTTTTACTTATAGTATAGTACCCAATAAGGTGAGTACTCTGTATTATTCTACAATATGAATAAAATTAGGTCTTTCTGCAGTTCCAGAGAAAAAATATGATATAATAATATATAACTACAACTAGGTAATAGTGTTAAAAATAATGATTTTAAATTATACTGTATCTACCTTGAAATTTTTATGTATAAACTAGGTATATAACATTTCTGCTTTGTAACATTCCTGACTCAGAACTAAATTTAAATAATCATTTAGACAGGAAATTTTGCCATATATTTTAAAGTTACACAAAATATTTCAGTAAGTCATTTTACAATTTGTTTTCTTGGCACCTGAGTAAATTCTGCTTTTTCACCTCTTCTTAGTTTCCTAGAAGCCTACACAGGCCCTGCAAGAGATCATTTTGGCACCTACCATGGCAGGTGTAAGCTCTAACAGTTACTAGTCTAGGAAATTTTGGGCTACTGTATTCAAACTAGAATTTTGTTTGGATGAAGTATTCTCTGGCATATGTAGGTCCTGATGCACTGTTTAAAGGTAGGTTGTATCTGATAATGGGAATACAGCTGCAATGAAGAAATCTTCCACAGCCTCAGAATAACCCCAAAACGTGAACCTGGGCCAAGAAAAGTTATTTTGGGGGCAGCTAGGTGGCGCAGTGGATAGAGCACCGGCCCTGAAGTCAGGAGGACCTGAGTTCAAATCTGGCCTCAGACCAAACACTTGACACTTACTGGCTGTGTGACCCTGGGCAAGTCACTTAACCCCACTTGTCTAAAAGCAAAACAAAAAAAGTTATTTTCAAAGCAACTTGAACCATAAACGCAGTGGAGAATCAGCTTTATGCAAAGGATAGAGAGTAGCCCTCAAGGCTTTGATGCTTATTCTCCATAAGACAGAGTGCTTGATAAACCTCAAAATAAGGATTTTTTTTAACAGTTGGGGTGGGGAACCTGTGGCCTCGAGGACACATGCAGCCCCCTAGGTCCTCAAGTGCAATCTTTTGACTGAACCCAAACTTCACAGAACAAATCCCCCCTCTTAAAATAATCCTTAAAATAACAGAAAGAATAAAAACTATCCATATCACTGAAACATGAAAACTTTACAGTTAACATAATTTTTAAATGCCTTATGTATGGTAGGTGCTTAAAAAAAGTCTGTGGACCTGGTCAATAGCTTACCTTAACATCTGTGAACTGAGACACAGCAATATCAGGCATGTTTGGATGAAGAGCTGGTAGCACACAATACAAATTGGGAAAGCAGACAAGGGACCCCAGCAGAACTTGTGCTTCTACTCTTGGTGCCTAAATATCAGATAATCCAGAACATAAAAATGCATTTAACAGTATTAGTATGTATTAAGAAAAAAAACATTCAAGGCAATGCTGTATTCTGTAACAAAAAATGGAGAAGTGAATTTGAATTACAAAACACAAAAATTCTAAAGGGTAAAACCATGCCCAGGTATTTAAGATATAATTATAATTTTAACAATCTTAATACAAACATATTCCATTCACCAACACATGTTCAATGACGAATATAGCTGTAGCAAAACAGCCTGATACAAGTGGCAAGAACACTGCAATTAGATTCAAAAGACTGAGGTTCAAATCCCATACCATTACCATTAAAAAGCCATATGATCTTGGGAAACTCAAGAAATCTTTAAGAACTTCAATTTCCTCATTAGTAAAATAGGGATAATAAGAACAAGGATTTTATGAGACTCAAATGAGACCACAGATACAAAATGGTTTACAGAACCCTGTAATAAAACAACTGCTATTATTATTACTTTGACCATCATCAGTATTGTTTAAGATAATATTTTTCCAAAACCTGCCCCCATATAAAATGCTGCATATGTTGTGAGGTTTTAATTTATCTAAGCTTATTTATATAACCTGTTCTCATGAAAAATGTTTTTATGTATAAAACTTCAGACTTTGAACTTCTAGCTGTATAGGTCATCTCATCTCATAATCAAATTCTTAAAATCCCTTTTCAAATCACCAAAACATGACTTGTCACCTCAATCATTTGTCACTCAATCACTGTTGTTTATCCTCATCAAAAGCTACAGTCCTTCAATTCTTAGGATTCTCCCATCCATCAAGTCCAGTTTAACTCACCTCCCTATCCTAGCCTGGACCCATGGTAGGCTAGTCACTTTAGAGAAGATCTAGCTAGCACCACAGAATTTATTGTCGTTTGGATATTCTGCTTCTTCTCAGATTTTTATCAGTCTCCATTGCTGGATTACTCCAAATATATATTATTCCAACTTCCAGGTAGGTTAGGCCTAGAAGACGTTAGGAAATTGTACCTAACAGAGATGACTACAAATTCATTTTACCCAAGAAAAATTGAGCTTTCACACTTCTCAGTATCTCTTGCTCATATCTCCTTAAAATTTCCAAAGCAATTGTTCTAAATTTTTTCTACTCTTCTTAGTCCTCCAGACCCTCAGTAGATAATCTTGCTTCTTATTTTACAGATGCAAAAGGTACATCCACTTCACCGCCTCTCTATCTCACAGTTTATCTTTTCCCTTCTCCTCAGATAAAATGATGTTCTTTCTTCAATGTGAAGCTAACTCTTCTACCTGTGATTTTAATCCTTTTTCCTCCTCTAGAATCCCACTATAAGAATTATCCTTTATCATGAATCTTTAATTTCTCCTTCCTTACTGCCAACAAACATATTCAAGTTTCTCTCCTCTAAAACCATTATACTTTGCTTTTGTCCATTATCAAACTTTTCAAAAAGTACAATATGCACACTTCCCTAGATTTTTTTTTACCATCCACTAATTACCTACCTCCTGAAAATGTAGCTTCTATCCCCAATCTTGTTCCTGAAACCATCACTAGTGACAACCTAATATCCAAATTCAATGGGACTTTTTTTTAGTCCTTAATTTTCCTTGTCCTTTTTATGACAATGGGCACCACTGATCATTCCCTCCTTGAAACTTTCTGAACCTCTGGCTTTGTGGACAACAAACCACCCTGATTCTTCTCTTAACAATTAGTTTTTCTTCTTTCTACCCCCTAAATATAAGTATTCCCCAAAATTGTACTTTGGGTCACTTCTTTTTATACTGTTTACCTTGGTAATATTTTCTATTCCCATAGTTTCATAAGATTTATTTTTATGAAATAAAATCCATCTGTATGACCCTACCCACCCCCACATTAAGTATCATTATCACTTCATGTTACAACTAATTCAAAGAATTCCTAATGATTCATCCACCTTAAACACTAGAATATTACTAAAATACTGTTTAAAGACTTATTCCCCTACTCAAAAGCCTTCTAGGGCTCACCACTGTTTACTCACTAAAGTTTAAACTCTCCAGCCTTTTATTTAAGGGCCCTCCACAATCTGGCCCCAATCTAGAAACGCAATCCTAAATGCAAATAGTTCTTCTCATATACTTCATATTATAGACAAACTGGCCTACTCATCACTTCCTGGACACGCCCACCACTTTCTAGTTTTGGGTCTTAGTTCATGCTGTTTTTGCTACCTTAAAAGTTCCCTTTAAGCAGGTACAAGACTCAGAAATCCTACTCATTTTTTAAAGTCCACTTCAAATTTATTCTCCTCATGAAGCCTTTACATTTTTACAACCCCTTTCAAAATAATGTTTTTAAATGCATAAAATTAAAAATGTAAGATTACAAATGAAACCAGTTATATTGAAATAAAGTTATCAAAATATTTTCATCATAAAATATTTTATCATGAAGTTATCAAAAATATTTTTATCATACATTCCAGGTTAAAAAGCACTAACTTCTTATAATAATAATAATAACATAGCGGGCATATATGATATATATAGCAGTTAAAGGCTTACAAAGTGTGTTCCTTGCTCAAGTCTACAATATTAAACATAATGTTCATGACAGACACATAACTTTCTATCCAAAAAGAGGATTATAAGTTTAGGATCACAGACAATAGAACCATAAAGAATCTTAGGTCAAATAGTTCAATCCTTTAATTTTATATATGAGGAAACTGAAGCCTAGAGATTAAGTGATTTGCCCAAGGTCACAAAACTAATAGAGAGCTAAGTATATTGTAAACATAGAAGGTATTAAAAACTGGTCTAAATTTGCATTTAATTCTGCTTTGCTTTTTACTATGGATTGTTTTCGGGGAGAAGGGAAGTCATAATTATAGGATGCCTTATAAAGCACACAGCCTTTTTTTGTAGCTTATGTACACTATTCAACGGACTTTACTTCTATTTCAATTTATTTCTACCTTTCCACTTTTGTTCTCTCATTTAGAACATCTCTATACTTTTTTTGTGTTGTTTCACCACTGCTTCCTGCCTTTCTTTTCTCCCTAGCTATATCCATTTTTAACTTTCCTCTCTTCACTTCAGCTTCCTTCATCTTTTGTACTTTAGTGCTCACAGTATTGAAACACTATTTAATGGATGCTTCACTGTCTGTTAATCAGTTACAATTTTTGTTTGAAAGTACGAGCTTCTAGGGGGCAGGTAGGTGGTGCAGTGAATAGAGCACCGGCTCTGAAGTCAGGAACCTGGGTTCAAATCCAGCCTCTGACTTGACACTTGACACTTACTAGCTGTGTGACCCTGGGCAAGCCACTTACCCCCAACTGCCTAAAAAAAAAAAAAGAAGAAAAGAAAGAAAGTACGAGCTTTTAAAATTTTAATTCTGAAGGGAAATGACCTAAACTTTGAGTTCTGGTGAACTTGAGGTGACAGAAACTTTATTTGTGGATTCCAATTAGTTAAGGTTTTTTAAAAATTTGCTGAATTGTAAAGAAAAAAAACTGAGTACTTACATTAAGAAATGATGAAGAAGCTACTCTACCAGCTGCTACAATAAAATCCATAATAAGCATTGTGGCACCAGGCAAACCAAGTGAAAAAAACTGAGGGGAGCAGTGCTTGATGATTGTATTAACAATATCCTTAAGAGGAAGAACAGGAAAGAGGAAAAAGGCATTAAATACACATACATAAATATGTACACACACATTCATTATCAATTACTCATTAAAGCTTAAAACTGAATAAGCTGAGAAATACAGAAAGAAAAACAATTCCTATACTTTGTTTTACTAAGTTAGGTCTTTGGAAAACTGACTGAAAAATGAATTTAAATAGTCTTAAACAAGGCTAATTTTAATTTGCCCAAATAAGCAATTCCTGATGTTATGTGCTTAGAAGAAAGTAGGATCAAAAATATTATTTCAAATGGTAAAGGATGATTCTAACACTACAGCAAAAAGGAACACTATTTAGAAGTGGGTACATGATACAACAGACCACCTTCTCTAAGATTGCAAGCACAAACTCATTTACTGGTCCCATTTACTTCCAAGTATAATTTTAAGTAATAAGTTTAAGTTCTGAAACTCAAAGGAACCTAGCTACTTTAGAAATCTTAGGTCTTTGCAAAGAGGCCCCATACACGAAATATAGGTGAAAGCTCTTAACTTGGCAATTAATTCATTCCACTTTCAGGTAGGCAATAAAATTAGCTGTTAAAGTTATTACCATTGATTTAGTTATTTTACAACAGACTGACTATATCACAAAGTGTAATTCTACTGTACCAGCAATAGTGAACTAACTTATTGTAGAATTTATTATAAAATTAAATTTGAGTTTACAAATTGTTGGACCAGTAGATGAATATGCAATGTTCAACAAGCATTTTTCTTTCCTTTTTTCAACAACAAATAATCAACCTTTAATATTTAATGCCCACTAAATATGTGTATTGCATTGAACAATAAAAATAACATTTCTGTGAAATGAATCAATGAAAACGAAATCATCTCCAGAGCTAGTTGAAATATTAATTCATAAAAAAGGTAAAGAGAACCAAGGATCAAGGGCAAATGGGTAGGATTTCTAAGAAAGTATACATTTACCTGATCAACATGAAGTAGTCCACAATGCATTATATTATAGAAGTGTGTTAAAAAGTCTCTATTTGGCGATACATCTTGTCTTCTTTTCATTGTGTTGCAAATAAGTTTATAGGCATGTAATTTGCCTTGCTTATATTTATCAGTCAACATAGTTGCCTACAATTAAAAAGTCAATTTTAAATTTCTAAGAAAAATGGAGAAGGGAGTAAAAATATTTACCTATTTAAGTGTAACTAAATATTTCTATTTTATGAGTGTCTTTAATTCTAATTGCTTTAACTCATACCAATTTCTATATCGTTTTGGCTACACTGTGTATGCAGTCCCATAAAAAATAACTAACTAGAAAAATAAATGTTATAGAAAAAGAACAGTGAAATATACCTACTTATAAGGTTTCAGAGACTTATAATATCGATCAGCTATTTATTTCAAAAGTAAAAACTGAACTTACCTTGAAAAGCCAAGGAGTAAGGATTCTCAGAGGAGGTATTAAAACTGGTGGAGGGGGTGAGGTCATATTATCAGACGAAATGCCAAGATTATCTCTAATCTGTAATTTTTTAAAAGGGTAAAGAATATAACTATGAAACTTAAACAATTATGTAGTGCATTATTAATTTCACAAGCAAAGGATCTGTTGTTTTTCCTCTATGATAAATTCTCCTATCTCACTTTCCCTTCATTTACCTTGGCCAAATTCTGCCAAAGCTCACACAAGTAATCAAACACTTGAGCATGTATTTCAGGATCCATAATAGTGTTAACATCTCCCAAAATGCCTAGCATTCTTCTCCACATCACAGTAGCAACATCTGCATGCCATCCTGTTAGAGTACCTCCTGCCATCACACTGCAACATTCAGACGGGAACTCACTTGTTTCTAGAAGTTAATGCAACAATACTGTAAATAAAATATCTGTGAATTTTAAGAAGAAAAAACACAACAAAGACAACAAAAGTCAACCATCTTGAAAATAAGAAAAACAATGATCATTGTGATTAGCTGGATCCTGATATACTGACAAAATCTTCATTCACAGCACTAACTCATCAATTACATATTTCTGTTGAGTACTGAAAGCATCACTTAAAAAAGAAAACTTACTGGATGTTTTGAGAAACATACTCAAATCCTCCTTTGTGATGTTGCAGATTGTAGATAAATTTCTACTTTCAGAAATGATGAAAATTTTAGAAATAATCTAAGAACAGATTTATATAAGTAAGTTTACGTATCATTTCTTACTTTTTCCCATTAACTAAGAGTTACAAACTTAGGCTATCAGTCTCTTTACATGCAGTTTTCTTTATATGTATTAGTCTCTTTACATGTAGAATCTTTCTATTCTGGACTTAAAAGTCTAAAAGCATCAAATGACTACAACTCATTGTAGCAACTAGGTGGTGATAAAGCGCTGGGCCTGGAATCAGGAAGACATGAATTCATATGCAGCCTCAGACAACAGTTTCATGTGACCCTGGGCAATCATTAACTTCTGGTTTGCCTCAATTTCATCACAAAAAAAGCCCTGGGGGTGCAGCTAGGTGGTGCAGTGGATAGAGGACTGGCTCCAGAGTCAGGAGGACCTGAGTTCAAATCTGACCTCAGACACATAACACTTCCTAGCTGTGTGACTCTGGGCAAGTCACCTAACTCCAACTGCCTCACCAGAAAAAAAAAATAGCAGTGCACAGTGTCTGGCCCATAGTGTGTGTGTGTGTGTGTGTGTGTGTGTGTGTGTGTGTGTAGATATATGTACATATGTGTATGTGTGTATATCGGTATAAATAGGTACATGTTATGTATGTATGTACATACATACACATATGTGTGTATGTTAGCTATTATTTGACTCATTTTTGGGCTAATTTTAAAAAATATTTAAAAAGAGAAATAATGCATAATTTTAGGTTGTGTGTGTGCGTATATATATATATATATATATATTATATATATATATATATATATATATATATATATCTCAGTGGCATTTTTGATACAGTTAAGCTTGGAAAAATGTGCAAAAAATGTAAAAGCCAGTATAAATTTTTATATGCAGGGTGTCCTAAAACTCTTAGTGCAGTTTTAATCATTAATATCTTCAAGACCATATAGACTCTTAAAACCAAACTATTTAACAGGCCCGAACATTTTTAAAATTTTGATTGAATGTATTTATAAAGAAATTCTATAACTATATTTACTGTGAAAGTTATTCTTCCTTACATGTAACCTGAATTACTTCTGCTGTTTACAATGTGAGCCAATGCTCTCTTGTTCTATTTGGTGGAAGTTGATCAATGACTTAAAAATCACTGACCTAGTACTCTTGAAAAATAAAAAACTTTATACTCTTGGAAATAGTTATTATCTAGCCTTTACATACCACACAGTACATAATTATTCTTATTTTTCCTAAGATGTAGATTCTTTCATTTCTAACATAACACATTTTCCCTACCAAACTTTATTGTTTTTTTTTTCTCCCTGTGTTCTCGGTAAACTTTTTAAATGCATTAGTCTGGACTGATTACTCAAATAAAACTATCACCAATAACGAGTTGATAAGAAAAAAAGAAAATTCCCTTTAAAATCTATATATACAGCACACCTCTACAATTAACTCTTTGTGGGATGTACAGTCATTTGATGTTGAGAAGGATGCCTTGCCAACTAGCTTAAGGGGCATGCCCTTACAAACTCAGCATGACTACCCTTTTCCTAGTATCTTCTCAAATCACTTAAATCTTTATAGACTATTCTTCCCAATTAAGGAAGTTAGAGGTAATTTTCAAAATGATTCTGTATTTTCATATTACAAGAATATCAAAAACAATAAACAACAGATTGGATGCTGCAATGTACTACTGAAGCACATCTATTCTGCAAATATACCACAGAACAGGAAGAAATATTTAAATAGTGGAATAGTTCCTAATGATCATGACAAATCTCAGAACCATGCTTTAATAGCCTTTAAAAAAACCTGACAAATGACTCAAGATTTTTTGTTTTTGTTTTTTAAATTAAAAATTAAAAGACTAAGGAGGAAGTGCTCTAAGATTCTGGATAAAACCATAAATTAACCTCACAGCCCCTCTAAAATCAAAGATTTTAATTCTGTTGACTCATCAACACCTTTATAAAACTAAGAAGAAATACAATAACCTAAGTTTCTCTCTCCATTTGAAGTGAAGCTAAAGAACAGTGCAGCAATCAAAGAGTAGATTTTTTTAAAAGGAATTAGCAAGAGGCACAGTGAGATCATGAAGAAGACAATTATGTCCTAGTGAATTGAGAGTTAACCAAATGTTAAAAGCATAACTGACTGACCAATGCAGGAATTTAATTTGCTTTTATTTTGTTAGTAGAGAAAGTGTATTCCATGACTCAGTGGTCAGGTTCTATGTTACTTGCAGCAATCTCTTCCTTTGTCAGAATTATCCAATATATTCTCAAAACAATTCTGGCATGGTGACAACAGCATGACTGTCATGAATGTCACGACTAAGGGCAGCTAGGTGGTAAAAGTGGATAGACTGGTAGGCCTAGCATCAGGAAGACCTAAGTTCAATGGGTGATGCTGGGCAAGTCCCTTAATCTCTGTCCACCTCAGTTTCCTCTTCTGTAAAATGGGGATAATAACAGCACTTACCTCCCAGTGTTGTTGTGGATATCAAATGAGATAATAATTATAAAGTGCTTAAGCATAGTGCCTGGCACATAGTAAGTGCTATGTAATGTTAGGTATTACCATGATGATGATGATGATGATGATACTCTGTGTACATACTTAACATATTCTGAGAACTACCTATCTTATTTTTAGCAATAAGAATGTCCAAGATAGTCAGGCATTATTCCATTTTGTTATATTGCTATATTGTTCTGGAGTTAGGAAAGACCTGTCTCTGACATTCAGTAGTTATGAGACATTAGGCAAATCATTTAACCTCTATGATTCTCCATTTCCTCACCTGCAAACTAGGAAAAATTAGATGTGCAATACCTACCTCACAGTAGAGTTGTGACAACAGTGCTTTAAAAGCTTTAAAGTACTTACAAATGTGAGTTACTTCCTTTCTACAATCACTTAAATATAAAACCTTTAGGTAAAATTTGATAACCTGAAGAATTAAAATCAACCAAAGGGGAATACTATGACTGAGTTTTTCCATTCAAAACCAGGTAAATAAGCCAACTTTCTCCTAAACTCTGGCTATAAAGGAAAGTTATCAAATATTTCTAAAACACCACAAAGTATTAGTAAAAACTGTACTATATTATTTATTACCTGTGTTAATAAATACCAAAGAAAGATAATTTAATATGCATGAAGAATGGAATAAATAAATCTAAGGCGTGGAATGGTAATCAGGCAGGAATTTTGTTTTTTAAGTCACAATTTAAACTAAATGACAAAGCCACTTTTAAAGAGCAAGGAAAATGTTATGGTAAAATTTAACTTTCCTGAAGATTCCAAGACTATTGCACTAACCATAAAATATGTTCTTCAATTCAAAGAACATTATTTTACTAACAACCTCTTAATTCTAATGCTGAGGAAAAAGAAAAATGGAAATTTCCAATTTCCAAATAATTGCCTAGATCATCTGGGGTTTGCAAAACAGAGTGCTGGAGCTTCTCATCCAATTGCAGGTCTTTCTGTTCAATGTGATCCGCACTCAGATTAGCAGGAGATGGTGTCTGTGATCTGGATCCCAGAACAGAATGGACTGGGGAAACACTTTTTGAACCTGTAAATAAAATTTCATAATGTCATTTTAAAAGCACATATTAATTCCCCAGTTGCAAAAAAAAAAAAAAAAGGTAACACTTAAAGCACCAGAAAAAAACATGCTTTAAGTCATACACAGTGTTCACATTGGACAAAGAAACAAATGAATGAACAAGCTATTAAAGCTCTTAAAGCCTGCTATAACTGATGCAAAGTGAAATGAGCAGAACCAGGAGAACATTACACAATAAAAGCAATATTGTATGAAGATCAATTGTGAATAACTTAGCTAGTCTGAGCAACACAATGATCCAACACAATTCTGAAGGACTTATGATGAAAGGTGCTATCCATCTTCAAAGAAAGAACTGGTGGAGTCTGAATACAGATTGAAGCATATTTTACTTTATCTTCTTAGGGCATTCTTTTGTGTTTTCTTTCACAACATGACTTACATGGAAACGTGTTTTCTATGACTACACATATATAACCTCTGTCAAATTGCCTGCCTTCTCAACGCAGAGAAAGAGGAAGAAGGGAAGGAGAACTTGGAACTCAAAAATTAGAAGAATATTAAAATTGTTTTTACATGCAACTGGGGAAAAAATAAAATATTAAAAAAATTTTTTTAAGCGCCTACAAAATTTGCTAAACATAGGGGATACATGTATACCAGCGTAAGGCAGTCCTTGCTTTCAGTAAGACTATATTCTAATAAAGGGACATCATACATGTAGGACAGTGGCAACCAAAGAAGGCAGCTTTGAACTGGAGGGTTACAGGGACATCATACACATTATCTGATTTATTGGTCAAATAATAACTATGTAATAGAAACTCCACTGAATATGATATATTATTTTTAAAAGTAGGTTGGATCAAATTATGTCTTCCACAGGAATGAGAAGGAGAAGCCAGGGTGGCTTTGTTTCTAGTTCTGCCCCTTAGGGTTAAGCAGAAAACATCTAATCTCTCTGCTATGTGAAAACCCTTTAAATCCTGAAGACAGCTTTCGTTGTCTCCCCTAAGCTAAGAAGCAGTACACAAAGCCTAGAGTCAGAAAGACCTGAGTTCAAATCTGGCCTGAGAAATTTATTAGATGTATGTTCCTGGGCAAGTTCTATCTGCCTCAGTTTCCTCAGCTATGAAATGGGAATATTAACAGTACCTATATCTCAGGGTTGTTGTGAGGATCAATGAGATAACCCTTGTAAAAGTGCTTAGCACAATGCCTGGAACATAGCAGGCACTTTCAAATGACTGTTTCCTTTTCCTTTCTTTCTTTCCTTCCTTCCTTCCTTCTGTCTTTCAGAATCAGATTGTTCATTGTAATTAATGTGAGTTCAGTTCCATTGTTTTCAACTGCATTATAGATATTTTATATCTATATATAAAACCTTTGGGTTTTATACACACACACTCTCTCTCTGTCTCTCTCTCTCTCTCTGTCTCTCTCTCTCTCTCTCTCTCTCGGTAATGAGTTAAGAGAGAACTCAGAGTTATAGTTCGGCAAGGTGTAGTTAATAATATTACAAAGAACTGGGGAATCCAAATGTAGGGGGCAGAGAATATACGAAACGGTCGACCACGTGATCAGTACTGTGAAGATAAGGGAAGCCAGAGCAGGGGTGATTGATAAGAGGATAGAATGAAGTGAACAGAGATAAGGACACAGAACAGGTTTCAGAGAAGTGAGACAGAGAGAAATGAGGCAATAGGAAGTTACCATCAGATAAAGGAATTTCAGTGTTCACTCTCATGGAGGTACAATTATGGTCATGATGGGATTAAGTGCATGACCATTCCTATCAGTGGCAAAGTGGAATGAAAATATAGATCTTGGGTGTTTAAAAGACTGATGAACTGGGAAGCTAGAAGTTCTTGAAGATGTTACTATGTACAATAAAATGCCTGAAACAGGGTGGAGGCTGCACAGACATTAGGGTGGAGAGGAAAACTGCAAGCCAGGTACATAACTCCCTGAGAAAGGAGGGAGAATGACCATAACAGATGATGGCTACAAGAAGAATCTGAAACAGACAATGAATTGAACCCCACAAGAAAGGCTACTTAGTCATAGTGGCAAAGGGATAGTATTAAATTAGCAGTGAGAAGTAACAGAATATACCTATTCCTCCTCTTTGGTCAGGACACGAGAGAAGGGGCAAGCAGTATTGGAAAGAGTAACCAACAATGCTGTGTTTTCTAGCAGCGCTAAGCTTCCTTTAACCTAAGAAGTTGGAAAGCATATTAAATAAAGAGATCTAGAATGAAGTGGAGTTTGCTAACATTAAGGATTGCCAGAGGAAAAAGGGAATAGGAGATAAGAGACTAACTGACACAAAGCATGGCAGAATAAGGCTGAGATGGATGGAGCCTTTTCTGATTTTTTTAGTTAATAATTTCTCCCTCCTTCAATCAGTCCACAATCATTTATTAAGTGATCATTAAGGCACTAGGATTGTATATTTACTTATTTGGGTACATGTTTTATTCCCCCCAGTGGAATGCAGGGATTCCTTTCTTTTTACTTTTGTATCCTCACTGCCTATATCTGTGTCTTGTGCATAGTAGAGACTTCATTGATAATACATAATAATGGCTGATAATAAATGGCTGATAATGCTCATAAGCGCTCAACCAAAATAATTATTTTTGTTGCACTGTGTTTTTGAATCAAAAATTCTGGCTTATATAGATCAGTTAGGTGGTACAGTGGATAGAGCACTGGATGTGGGGTCAGGAAGACCTGAGTTCAAGTGCAGCCTCAAATATTTACCAGATGTATGACCCTGGGCAAATCACTTAACCTGTTGCCCCAGTTTCCTCATCTATGAAAGGAGGATAATAACAGTACCTCTTCCTCAGCATTGTTGTGAGGAAAAGATGAGATAATATGTGTAAAACACTTTGCAAACCACATTTTTTCTAGTATCAATTTTATCCCTAGCCTTAATTTAAGTTACACAGATTTATCTGGCACATAGATTTAATTTAGTCATTCTTGTGAGAATAAAATAAATTTCACCTTGAGGAAATTCTGTTGAATAACCTTTCCAATAACAGCCAATGAATAACTAAGCATACTTGTTTTAATGCCCTTATAATATACTACTGTATACATCTTTAATGGTGGGATCTTAAAATTCCCAACAAAATTTCTTAATATACAGAAAAACAGTTATAACAATCATTGGTCATATAATTTATAAAACCTGAATAATAACAAAATGGTGATGCAGTGGATAGAATGCCAGGCCTGAAGTAAGGAAGACTCTTCTTCCTGAGTTCAAATAAAGCCTTGGACATTTACTAGCTGTGTGATCCTGGACTAGTCACTTAACCCTGTTGCCACAGTTCCTCATCTGTGAAATGAGCTGGAGAAGGAAATGGCAAACCACTTCAGTATCTTTGCTAAGAAAATCCCAAATGGGATCATGAAGAGTCAGACATGACTGAAATGACTGAACAATAACAACAACAGAAAGACAAAAGGGCAAAACCAAAACCCCCAAATCCAGTTATTTCACAAAATGTGGTCTGGTTACCACATATCACAAAAGACAATGATAAGCTGGTGAGCATCCAAAAGAAGGAAAACAGCCTGGCAGAAGGCCTAGAGAGTATGCTAGATAAAGAATAGCAGACATGACAGAAAAATAACTCAATAATAACAACAACAAAGACAGAAATGTGTTAGTTTCTTTCTAAATAGGGAAATAGGGACTATACTTATAACTTCGTTGATGACATAGTGACCTGTGCAGGGTCACTGATATATCTTAGAGGTGAGATTTCAACTTTAGCTTCAAGGTCAGCTCTCTATCCAATTACACCAGCTTGTCTCTCCATGCTAAATTGTTTTTTATCATTCCTCCTTATATGCTTTTTGAACCATTTATACCAAGGATTGACATTAACCTTAAACTAAATTTGAGCTTTGTTTCTAACAACTAAAAAAATAAGTAGTCAAACTGGATCACTGTATGTATTTAAGGAAATAAGTATATTCTAAAATTTAGGCCTTAAGAAAAACACTCACTTGACTTACCAAACTCATAAACTTGTGAGAATAAAATTCTTGAACCACAGACTTTTAAGTGTATTATTACATAAGGTATAGACTTCTTCTACTGGACAATATACTCTACAAACTACATGAATTTTTAGGGAAGTCAAGTAAAATTAACAAGCATTTATTAGGCACTTATTATTTGCCAGGCAATATTCTAGGCACTGAGGATAAAAGGAAAGGTAAAAAAAGCCTCTGCTCTCAAGGAGCTCACGCTCTAATAGAGGGGACAACATGCAAATGACTGTACAAACAAGGCATATACAGGATAAACTGGTAGTTCTTTCAAGGTGGAGACATTAGCATTAAGAGGTATTGCAAAAAGGAATCTGGGATTTCAGCTAAAACTTGAAGGAAGGGGAAGCCAGGAGACAAGGAACTGTAATGAACCCAGTGTCACTGGATCAGAACATATGGAGGAGAATAAAGTGTAACAATATGTTACATTCTTACAAGGTACAAAGGAGCCAGGTTATGAAGGGCTTATAAAGGCAAACAAAGGATTTTATATTTGATGCTAGCGATAATAGGGAGCCTTTGGAGAGATAGGGTGGGAGTGAACAACACAGTCATACTTGTACTTTAGAAAGATCACTTTGACAGCTGCATAGTAGGATAGACTGGAGTGGGGAGAGACTGGGAGACTTAAGCAGGCTATCCAACAGTTCATGCATGACATTACGGGGGCCTGCATCAGGGTGGCAACAATGCCATTTCTGGGGCATATGGGAGAGATCGGAAGAAAGTAGAATTAACAGAGCTTGACAACAAACTGGATATGGGGGAAGGTGAGAGAGTCAGGAACTGAAAAGTCTATAAAAAGCCTACAGTGACAATTCATGATAATGAAAAAAGCATTCATTACATTTCTCTTAACTATTCCCAAATGGTAATTTTACTCTCCAATAAAATAACTAAAATTTCTCAGGATTTTTAATTTCTTTAAAAAAAAAAGTATGTATGCATGTATGCATATGTGTGTATATGTATGTATACACACACACATATGTGCCTGTGCATGTATATATTTAAGAATTCATGAGTAACTTTACTAAATTATAATATATGCAAGTATATATTTACGTGTCAAATGTTAACCTATGTAAAGTGCATCACTAATCTTAAAGTGCTATATAAATATTATTATTATTACCAGTAATAGTTGCAACTTCAGCAGAAAATGGCTGTTGGTTAAGACTGCTTGTTTCAGAATCTATGTGCAATGTAGTCAAACTTGCCACATCCAGTTCTTCAGTACTTTGTTGATGTCCTAAACCTGCATCAACTTCAGTAGAAGATAGTGTCCCAACATCAACTCCAAAGCCAAAATCTATAAATAGATAAGACTCAAATGTAAATTAATCAACTATAAATTAACAATTTATAGAACAGATCAATGGAAAAGATTAGATAAGAATTAGAAATAATCAGATATTGTAGCCCAGTGTTCAACAGACCTACTTGCTCGATAAACCTCTTCAAATAAACTACTTGGGAAAAGACACCCCTGTCTGACCAGAACTGCTAGAAAAACTGAAAAGCACCTAAGTCAACTTAAATTGTAAATATAAATATAAATATAAAAAGCTTTAGAAGAGAATGAAGTACTTTCATTACTTAGGACAATTCTTAATTTAAAAAAAAGACAGAGGAGATCATAAGAGAAAGCTGACGATTTTTACTGCATAAAATTAAATAGTTTCTACATAAACAAATCAACACAGCTAAGATAAGAAGGAAAATGGTCAACTAGAAAAAAAAATCTTTCTATCAAAAGTCTAATAAAAGGAAACTAACACAGCTAGATGGCTCACTAGATACGAGTCAGGAAGACTTGAGTTCATGTCTGACCTTAGACACTAACTAGTTCTGTCACCCTGGGCAAGGCACTTAACCTCTATATGCCTCAATCCACTGGAAAAGGAATTGGCAAACCACTCCACTATCTTTGCCAAAAAAACCCTATACAAGGTCACTTACAGAGAAACACGCCTGAACAAATAAATAACAATAACAATACAATTACATAAGATCAAGAGCTGTTCTTTAATTTTTAAAAAATGGTCAAAGGATATCAAAAGTTTTCAAAAGAATTACAAACTATCAACAATGATATGAAAAACTGTACTAAATCGATAATCATAAAAGAAATACAAATTTTTAATTTTTTAAAATTTTACTTCACACTACGAAAGTTGAGAGAGATGACAAAAAACATGGAGGAGCTGTGGGAAGATAGTCACATCAATATACTGTTGGTGTAACTATAATATGGTACAGCTGTCTGGGGAAAAAAAATGAATTGTGTGATACAAGTCACTGAACTGTTGCTAATTTTTGATCCAAAGATTCCATTGCTAGGCAGCTCCTCCAAGGAAGTCAAATACAAGAAGAAAGAAAAAACCCTATATATGTAACAAAATATTGATAGTACTTTTTTTGCCACAGTCAGAAAAAAAAAAGGAAACAAAGTGGGTGTCCACTGACTGAATAATGGCTGGACAAATTATGGCATATAAATTAAACAGAATATTGTTGCCCTGCAAAGTGATGAAAATGATGAATTTAGAGTAACAACGAAAAACATATATGAAATGATACAAACTGAAAGTAAGTAGAACCAGGAAAACAATATACACAGAGTGATCACAATAATGTAAATGAAATGAACACTAAGAGTGGAACACTACATAATTATAACTGACTAGTTTTGACTCCCAAGAAAAGATGCAAATGTGTTTCATTTCCCTTCCTTTTGTGGAAAAGTAGGGACTATTAAGAAAAAATGAAGATGAGGAATTAGAAAAAACAGTGGATGTGAAAATGATGCAACCCAAAGAGCCAGGAAAACAAGATACACTATGATTACAATAATGTAAATAAAATAGAACACTAAAATGAAAGCGAAAAAATGTTTAATTGAAATTGACCAATCAACCTCCCAAGAAAAGATGGAAATGCACTTCCCTACTCTTCTCTGGGGAGTATGAGTACAAAGTGTTGTGTACTATCTGATATGTGGTTGATGTGTCTGTTGGTTTTGCTTAACTGTTTTTCTTGGTTCCGTGGTAAGGATGACTAGGGAAGGGTTTCTGGAATAAAGGAAGGAGTTCACCCCAAAATAACAATAATAGAAAAACAAAAGGCATCAATAAAACTTGGATTTTTTAATGACTGCTTTATTATTAATAAGTTAGCACAAGGTTCTTTAAGGCTTGTAATAAATTGCTGAACTGATTTAAATGTTTTAAAATCCCAAATAGTCACAAGAAGGATGATACATAGTGAGGCAAAACAAAATGTGTCTACAGATTAAGAGTAAACTTAAATCTGGTAGAAACCATAGTAGTTTCAAAAATATCCTTAGGTTTTTTTAAAAGACAACCACATGACACAGAAAATAGAGATATAAACACTCTGCTCCAAACAGAGTTGAAAAGCCTGCAACTTTTAAATAAACTGGAAAGTAACCAATTAAAGATAATTCTGTGGGCATAATCCAAGTAAAATAAAGAGTAAGTGTGGTTGCTAATGGAAGTTTAAGCATAGAACTGATTAGTGGACTTAAGTCTAAAGAGAAAATATGCTACACACATATTAAAAGGAGGTGTGCCCAAACCCCAAGAGCCTTGGCAAAGACTGATCATCAAGCAGAAATTTATCCAAAGCAGTAAAACTGTTAGAAATTCATGTTAGGGAGTTGCTTTGGGGTGTTTTTTCGTCACATATGCAAACCTGGCTCTCAATGCTTTCATTTTGTTTTATATTCTATATTTGCCAATTGTGTTAGTGCAGAGTGACAGAATAATTTTTGCCTATGAGGTTATAAAAAAAAACCTTCAAAGTTTTCTACATGATCACTTCTCAATTTTTGCCACTACTACAGAACTTTTTTAGTGATCCTGAATTCTGATTGGAATATCGCAATATATCATATTTGGAATATAGCTGATCCTTTGCAGACATTACCATACTCTGCACTACTTACTTCGGCACATGAAGTTATAGGAAGCAAAGTATAACTTACTTTGCACAGTTTCCAAAATAATCTTCCTAAGACATAAATCTTAACATGTTACAATTGAAAAAATTTTAGTGGCTACTTTATACCACCTCTTCAGCCTGGCAGGACCTCCCCGCTCCAAAGGCTTTCTCACTCTAAATTCATTACTCTATCGACTCTGCTTAATAATACTTACTTAATAAATACTTACTTAATAAAACATTTGTTGCAATGAGCTGAATTCTCCCCAAAATTATATATAACTGGTTTTGACAAACTGAAACACATAATTTCATTTGGAAAACTTGCCATTCAAAGAGAAGTACTTCTGTGGTTTACACCTCGGTATATACAGAAGTCTTTGTGTCATTTTAAGCTTAAAATTTTCTCACTGATCATTACTTCCTATTTCATATTTCCCTCTACCTCATTCCTACTAAACCTATTCATTTTTGCCCTTTTTAAATCAATTTTTATTTTCTAGGGTAAGAACTGCATTTCCACTTGTTTGCAGTACTGATAAGGTAGGATGTTCTTACAGTATTTAGAATGCCCAAACTGTATATAGCAGTGCCAATGTCAGCTAATAGCGTAAAATAAATCAAATAATTTTGGAATACCCTGTATAACACTTTGTGATACTTTTAAAAACTAAGGCATACTTATAATATGCTATGGAGACATGCTCTAGGCAATTAACAGTGGGAAAACAGGACAAATTAACAGATAACTGTAAAGCTAAGCAGAAAACCAGATACTTGCTGTCAAATTTCCGGCCATCATACTGGAAAGCGCTGAAAGAATCTGAATGGCTATCTGAGCTGATAAGGTCACTGCTGCCTGCACTGGCAGGAGAGGTCCATTCTGAGGGCACACCTGGATCATCTATAGGACGCATCTGATTCTGCTTGTTCAGTATATCAGGGAGGTCCTTTGGGACTTCAAGGCTGCCTGGACTGCTCCCTCTTCTTGTTATATTCTGAAAATGAAAGAATATCATGTTTATTCTATATGATATTTTCCACCCTCATCAGTTAACTAATGGTTTTTCCAAGATATTTCAAAACAATCCCTGATTTAAATGGTGTGAAAATTGTTCTCCACAGACCTAGATTAGAACCCATCCAATTTATTAGCTACTCTTCATGAACTACCATAGCCAAAATATTTCATCATTTGATAGCAACCCTCTAGTGATAAGCTTCTCAAAGGATAACTAGGGTGAACCTTGGACAACAAACAGTGAATTTTTTTTCATTTGGGTAGGACTGTCTAGGGCTTTTGCTGGCAAAACTTTCAAGAAATAAGGATCATTTAACACTATAATAGGGTTTGAGAGCAGAATTTTTCCATATTAATATAACCAAAATAAAATATTGATTCTATCATTTATTATTATTATTCTATTATCATTCAATTGCTTTTTAGTAATGTCCAACTTTTCATGATCCCATTTGGGGTTTTCTTGGCAAAGATACTGAAGTGGTTTGCCATCTCCTTCTCCAGCTCATTTTAAAGATAAGGAAACTGAGGAAAACAGAGTTAAGTGACTTCTCCAGAGTCACATAGCTAGCTGTGAGCTATCTGAGTAGAAATAAGAAAACACATTCAAATGTTGGAAAGATGCACACAAAAAGATTTTGTAACTGTTTATGTGGGACTCAGAGGAGTAAATTTTTGGGGAAAGATAATGAGTGTGTTTTGGACATGGGATATACATACACATACATACATATTCATGTGTGTATATGTACACAGGGACAGAGAAAGCATGCCAGAGAAAAAGACACTTTATAGTGCAACTCTACATAGAGAAAGAGTCTCATCAAGACTGATACTCTCACTCAGCTCCCGATCTTGGGGATACAAGTGGCACCACCCACCAACATGATATCATGGATCAATTAGCTAACTTACATATATACACATACACACGCATGTATAGTCTGAGTGTTATCTACATAAAAAAGATAAATAAATCTATGGAAATTTGTGAGGTCACTAAGACACAGTGTATGAGCCTTGGGTTACACCCAATTAGTAGGCGTGATATAAATGATGATCCAGTAAAGAAGCCTGAGAAGGACAGAGAGTAAAGAGGAGAAGCAAGAGTGAGCAGCACTGCAAAAACCCAGAGGTGAGAACACATTCAGGAGAGGAGAGTCAACAACAGTATTAAATGCTGCAGAGATAAAGAAGGATGGGGACTGAGAAAAGGCACTAGATTTACTAATTAAGGCAACACTAACTTTAGGGAAAAGCTTCAATTGAATGATGAGGTCAGACACCACACTGCAGAGGGTTTAAAGGAGAGTGAAAGGAAGAGCAGAAGCAATGAGTATATATAGCTTTTTCAAGGACTATCTCTTTTTCACCATCATTAAGTAACCATTTTTTCTTTGAAATTCATTCCATCATCCAGTCAAGATCCTTGTCACAGCAACTGATCATGTTCAAGTTATTCCCTATCCTTTTTCAAGAAGTTCTTCTGTATCTGAATAACAGCCTTTCTCTCCCCCAATCCTTTCCTTAAGATTCAGGGATTTCAGTGTACAGATCAACATCTCCTAGAGGATTCTTGCTTCCCAATTCATCAGCTTTCTCTTCTCTCTGGCCTTTACCTTCATTTCAATCTAGCCATTTATAGTAACAGTCACCAACAAGCAAATCCTAAACATTCTCATATTCAAGCCCAAACAAGCTGGCAGCCTGGACAGCCATACCATAAATAACAGTCTCATCAGGACTGATATTCTTATTCAGCTCCCTGACACTGAAGAAGTCTTACAGAAGTTTCTGGATCTTGGGGATGTAAATGGAACCACCCATCAAGATGATGTCATGGATCCATCATTTATCTAGCTTGGCATTCCTTTACGGCCTTTTACAAAAAGTCCGGTGTGCCGAGGAAAAAAGTTAGCATTCAGCTCTCTGAAATGGGCATAGGTGACAGAGATATATGGAAGTCAAAACTTTCACAGAGGAAGTCAACATCAATACCACTGGCCTGGTTACTAGAAGAGAGGGTGTGCTTTATATATTCACAAGCCCTGCAGAGGCAGAGAACAGCCCTCTTATTTTCACTTATTCTCTTGTACTTGTACGCAAACTCAGCAATGAAATGACTGACCATGAGGTTGTCAAAGTTCCCCCCTCCTGAGTTGATGCCTCTAGCTGTGGACTTCATTTTGAAAATGCCATCTTCAGTGGCAAAGGTGGAAATATCACAAAGGCCCTCCTCCGAGGTCAAAGATCAACACATTTCTTTCAGCCCCAACTTACTTTAAGCCATAAACAATAACAACAGTATTTGGATAATTTATGATTTAGCATCTTTGGTGGCTGACCCAATATTGGGAGTCACTGAAGCAGTCTTGTACTGTGATCACATCATTTGTAAAAGTCTTCCATACATTTATTTCAGAAATTTTTTTTGTTCTTGTCAAAACCTCATAAGATATTTCCTCTGGATAAAAACTTTTGGTTTCCCTTTTGTACTCCACTTGGACCTTAGCCTGAGTCATTTGCCCACCACAAAAGGAAAACGCTTCACGTTGGACTGTACAACTGAACATCAAACCTGTGACTAATCAAATATTTGGCATAAAATACTATATTGGTGAATTTCAATTCAACTTGATTCTTTGAAGCACAACCAATCAACAATTCTGGGTCAGTAAAGATGACACATCATGGGGAAGCCTTGTTTCCTTAGTTTTAGAAATTATCTCCACTTTTCCATGGTGAAAAACAGGAATAAATGGTGCCAAGATTAATGCCAACTGTGGGTCCCTTCAACATGGTTGCTAGGGTACTGGGTGGTTACTAATTTATGAGGCATCACAAGAACTGCTGTTGCATTAGTGAGACCTCTAAACCTATTCCTCAGTTTCACCACAACCTTTAGCCATTAACCTGTCTTCTTCTCCTAGTCCTCTACCCCTACTCTAGATTCCCTGTCCTCCTTTCATTTTCAACTCTGTGGCTGACCATTTCAAATATACACAGACCTCTAAGCTTAATCGTTGCCCTTTCCATCTCTGAGTACAAACAGTAAATTCTGCTGGTTGAAGTCATAAAACAATGCCAACTAGATCCACTACAAATTTATTTTACCTAAGCTGATTAGGGCCTTCATTACACATAGAAATCCTTTTAGTCTACCTTAAATTTTACAGTCAAGAATACCACCTCCTCCCATCTTTGACTCCTTGCTCTCTTCTCACGCTCCCATATGTTATCAGATGTCAAGTCCTCTGCTTTCTACCTTCATAATATCTCTCTTTTCTTCTCTAACACTACAACCATCCTTGCTGTAAGTCCTCCCCACCTCATGCTCAGACTATTATACATGCTGATTGGTTGGTTTCCCTGCCTCCAATCTCTCCCCCTTCCCATCCATCCTTCACTCAGCTGTCAAAATGATCTTCCTAAAGTATAGGTCTAACCATGGTGTACACACACACACACACACACACACACAAAATATCAATCAATAAATTCTAGTAACTTCCTATCACCTCCAGGATCAAATATAAAATCCAACAATTTGGCTTTCAAAGCTCATCATAACCTGGATCCTTCCTACCTTTCTAGTCTTCTTATATCTCACTCCCCTCCATATACTCTTGATCCAGTAATACTGAGCACCCTTCTGTACCCAACACAGCATACTCCATTCTCCTTAGGCGGAGCACTTTTGCTGACTTTCCTTCATGCTTGGAACATTCTTCCCTCCTCATCTCTACCTCCTGCCTTCCTTGACTTCTTTCAAGTCTTAGTTAAGGTCCAACCTTCTGCAAGTAGCCTTTCCTAGTCGTTCTTGATCTTAGTACCTTCCCTCTGAGACTATCCCCAATTTAACCAGTATATAACTTGTCTGTGTAGTTGTTTGCATGTTGCTTCCCTTATTTAAACTATGAACTCCTTGAAAACAGAGACTATCTTTTGTCTTTCTTTCTATTCCAAATTTAGCACAATGCCTGGCACATAATAGACACTTAAATGCTTCATGACTGACTGAATGAATAGCTTTCTATCACACTCTCTCTAAAACATTTATTCCAAAACTTCTCTTCTTTCCTTGAATCCACTATATGTATCCCCTCCCTTTCACCTTCAACTGGGCAAAGAACCTCAACACTACTCAGAAAACAGAGACTAACACATACTCCTTACCCTTTTCTTAAAACTCCTTTACATCATACTTAATTTCTCCTTTCTCTGTCTCTCAGGAAATGGTCATTCTCCTTGTTAAGGTTAACCCTTCTAACCTTTGCTCTTAATCTCATCTCTTCCAAGATCACCCCCTTACAGCACTCCTTTCTTCTTATGAAATGACTCTTTCCCCACTTGCTTGCAAACCTACAAACATTGTCAGGCTTTAAAAAGCCTTCATTTCACTTTGCCATCCTCCTGACAGTCCAACTCCCAGAAAGATTCTCTTGTGCTGTCATAAATTTTATGGGTTCACGTATCTCTATATAGATGACTCTAAATCTATGATCTTACGGCACGTGATTATATTGCCAGTTTTAATCTCTGTACTGAACTCCAGGCCCACATTGTCACCTGAATCAAATTCAACAGGGCAAAACAAAATTTTTATTTTCCCTTAAATCTATACCTCCTCCAAACTTCAGTATTTGCACCAAGGTTATTACTATTCTTCTCGTCACCTGCTGCTGTTTGTCCTTTGTTCTTGAAGAGGACCATGACATTAGGGACGTGATACCATGACATGCAAGTGAATTGGATTTAAGTGACAGAGGACTGTGCAGTCACCAGTCTCATTGGTCACCAAGAAATGAGTTCTTTTTCTCTCACTCATCCTCTCTTCCAACACCCAATCAGCTGCCAAATACAGCAAATTCTACCTCCACATCTTCAGCATATATCTATCCCTTTCTTTCCTCTCAGATGGCCATTATTCTGCTTCAAAAAGGTGAAGACCTTTTGCCTCTCTAGACTGTTCTCCCTGGTTCTAGTTTTCCTTGTTCAGTCCATCCCGTATAAGGAGGTAAAAATATTCTTCCAAAGATGCAGACTGAGCACTCCGCTGCTTAAAATTTTTCAGTGATTCCCATTATATCTAGGGGAACAGACCTAACTTCTGTTAAGTTTTCAATCTGCCACAATTTGGCTCCCACTTACCTTTCCAGACTTATATCACTCTCCTTTATAATTTAGCATTCAATCCAAAAAGACCAACCGTTATTAAAATTCAGAAGGCCATTTTAAGCCTAAAATGCATTTCCTTCTCACTTCCAAGTCTTAGAATCCCTAACTTCCTTCAATAATCAACAGGAAGCCTTGTCTACTCCTACCAGATGTTGGTACTGTCTCACTTGAAATTATTTTTAATACATTTGTCTTTATACATGTTGCATCTCTTTACCCCAGAGAAAGCAGAATGTAAGCTCCTTGGGAGGAAGGATTATTCTTTTTTGTCTTCACATACCCAAATCCTAGAAAAGTCCCTTACCCGTAAGTACAATAAATATTTGTCAAACTGATGATGCAGTAGAAGAGACTGAAGAGTACTCATTTAAAAATGAGCAAAACCAGAAGAGAACACTTAACACAAGAAGGGAGTGGTTGACAGTGACTAAAGCAGCTGAGGTCAAGAAGGTTGAAGACTAAAAAGAGGCCCTTGGATTCAAGAGCTTAGAGGTCACTGGTAAACTTGGGAGTATTTTCAGTTTAGTAATGTAGTCAGAATACAGACTACAAGTGGTTAAGTGGGAGATGAAATAGAAACAATGAGTATAGATGACTTTTTCTAGCAGTTTGGCTGTGAAAGGAAGAAGTAATAGAAAATGATAATTGGAGGACACTAGGTCAAGTTGCCAAGTTGAGAATTTTTAAGGATGGGGAAAATATTTGGCAGTAGCAAATGACACAACAGATAATAAAAATCCGAATATGAGAGAAAGAGAAAACATGCTTAGAAGAGATGGGATACAGTACATAAACAGAAAGCCTATAGTAAGAAAAGGGCTACCTTTTCATCAGAGAATGGACCAAAAAGGGATAAAATGAGAAATGTAAGTAGAAGAGACAAAGGAATTCAGGATGGTCTCTATTTTCCACAAAGAAACATACTTTTCTCAATAAATCAAGGCCCTCCGATGAGAGGGAGGAGAGAGCTGGTTTCGAACAGATGATGAAGGGAATGAGATAGAGGGTCAGTAGGGGAAGAAAAAAAGCATTGCCTTAGAGATACACAGATAACATTAGTTAACAACTTTGTAGTGGACCCAGCTGACACAGTTAGGTGATCTCCCCCAATGGTGTTCAGCACCACGTAAGTAGAACCATAGGAATATAGACTTAAAGTTGAAAGGGACTTCAAAGGTCATACAGTACCACTATTTCATTTGACACCTGAAGACTAGAGAGATTAAATTACTTGCCAAAGGTCACAGAACTAGTAAATGAAAAAGATGAAATTCAAAACCAGGTCTTCTGATTTCAATATCATCAGAGATGGATGAGGTCAGTATCTTAGGTGCCTATACAACTGGGAACTGGGAAAGTAGAACCTTTACTTCCTTATACGGCCTTTGCCTTTGACAAGCAGAAAATTTTTATTTTTCACCTGATAAAAAGTATATACCAGCTTGTCTTTAAAACTATAGCAGTGGATTTATAAGTATATATAAAACCCTAAAGTAAATTAAAATACAGAAATTCTAAAAATATCAATTTTGAGATTACTTTTAATGTGTTCTTTAATAAAATAAAATTTTGCAGATCTTCTTTACTCTCCTGCTAGCATAAACAAAATAAATCAAAATATGCTTACCAATGTATTACCACTTCGGAGTCTTTCAGCTATAAATTCATCCATCAGGTCAGGAATGTTAGCACTGCTGCTGCCAATGTCACTGTTAAGAAGGTGCAGCTTTTGACTCATGTCCTCTTTACTGGCTAAAAATAAATGAATAACTATATATAGTAAGGAGAAGCAACTTATTTTTTAAAATTTAAAACAAAATATTTTTTAAAATTCCGATGCCATACCAATTACTCACCAAACATGCATTTAGGAATAGTTTCCTTTTTCTTAGATTTAATTTTGAGATTAGTAAATCTGACACTTACTTTTAAACTAAGCAGATGTTAGTCAATCTCCAGTATGATCTTAAATAGCAAGAAAGCTTACAGGTAAGCACTAGTTGAAGTCAGGTTAATATTGGCTGTAAAGATACTAGCATATAGCTCTTCCTCCCTTCCTCTTTTATTGAAAATAGCCCTAATAATTTGTATTTCCCTTTCTCTATAAATAACTTCACAGAAACTATCTCATTTTGATATATTAAAAATACCTTGTGATATTTTATGTTGGTATATTTTTAAACAGAATTCTATAATCAAGACACATTATAGAAACTAGCCTTTCTGCAAGTCCAGAATGATTAATGCTTTATGGAAAGGCCGTTACTCGTATAGAGGTCTCTTAATACACCATTTTTTTGTTATAAAATATAATACTTAGTAGGTATATTTTGTTTCCTGTATGAATTCATTTACATAAGAAAATTTTACTAAAACTGAATGTTAAAAATTTTCCTTTAAACATTTTAAAAATCAGCACATTATATTTCTAATGAACTATGTGAAACATTTTGGGTTAAAATAACAAACTGGTCAGAAGTATTTTATGAAATATAATTACCTTACTGGCCTGGCTATACTGTAACTAAGCTTTCAAAGGCTGCCCTCAGGTGGTATTAATGCCTCAATGCAAGATGCTTTATGGAACATTCTGTTACTCAGGCTAAATTAACCAAATTAATAAATATTTAAAGAACAAAACAAAAACAAAAACTTTTCTATTTTGCACATTGGTGAATGTATTTTAACTATGAACTAAGATCAGTGAAATCAGTTATCATAATCTTTTTTTTTAATATTTCTGTAAAAGTTCCACATTTAGGTCATCAATAAACCTTCATAAACTTTTGAGCTCATCCAAAACTTCAAGAAAAAGCAATGATGAATGTTGCTACGTTGCAACTTATACTCATATTAGTGAATGCAAAACTGAAAAGTCTAAGGAATGCTTACGAATTGTTTGAAAAGTAACTAAATCAACATGAAGGTTTTTTAAGAAATATTAGCTTCAATAACTGTTAACCAAAATTATCTGGGCTAATTATATCATCTGGATTTCTATTATGTCAAAAAGCTTCAAGGTATTTTTACTCCCAAAGATAAGGAGGAATAGCAGGAGGAGGAAGAAAACTAAATGAATCAACAGTAAAAATAACAAGTCACTTGGAAAAGAAAAGCATGATACATGTCTGAGATTCATTTTAAAGGCCCATATGGTAGGCAACAACATTTATGTTTAATTCTTTGGATGGTCATTAATAATTTCCTGTCTCTTCCTCTTCCCTAACTTGATGCTTAGCAGCAAAGACCAAATGCCTTAAAAAGGAAATTAGTAATTTACAAAGTAAATAAAGATATTTTATGCTGGGAAATTCAGATGGGTAAAGATGCATGCATAACCAAAACAGAGAAAAAGCAGTGACCATCCCAAAGCTTCTTGATTGCTTATAGCTTGCTTCAGTTGCATTAAGCCAAACTGATGCTGTCTTTCTCCTTTTGCGCTCTGCACAGTTAGTGCTCACCTGCAGCTTTCCTTCCAAAATAGCCCATAACATGACTGTACAGATCCCTCAGTGGAGCCTCTGGTGGCACTCTGTTCTGCCTCTGTGGGGAAACATTTGCCTTCGGCTTCGAAAGAGCATGTACAACAGTTTTATAAACGCCACCCAGGGATCCCTGTTGTAGTCCTAACTCATGACTTGAAGACCTAAGAGCACAACGACTACTTGAATGATTAACTGTAAAACCTTCTTTCTGTAACATGGTTGCATGTATCTCTGTAGAATCCTTAACTGGTTTACTATTTATTGATGCTGTACTCATTACATCCAAAGGTCTATATACACCAGGCTTGACTAGTTCTGTGGCAGTATTTGAGCTAATGTTAGTATTGGTGCCACTGCTACTGGTACTGCTGCTACTACTGAAGCCACTGAACTTGCGTAGTCTTGCCTTCCACGGAGCCTCTTTGTTTTCTAGAGGATTGTAAAACTGAACTGATTCAGTAGATGGCCTAAAGGTAACATGGACACTATTTCTTTTCTTAGTGGTATTTTTCATGATTTTGGCCCTATAACTCACTGTTTCAGAAAGGCTCCTTTTGGTTGGAGAAAGTTTGCAGGCATCCATAATATGAGGTATTTCATAATTAACCGGAGATTTTAGTGGAACTTTCTTGACATCCATAACAAATGGAACAGTAATTTTTTCATTAATGTGGATACCTTTAAGCTTTTCAGCTAATGTTACGTCCGTATCTATATCTGCTTCAGTAGCTGTTTGTCTGTGAAGATACCTTTTTCTTTCTTTATCATATGGACAACTTGATTCAGGTTCAGTGTATACGTCCTTGGACTTAACAAAAGCCTGAGATCTTGTGAAATTGTATGATTGATTGCATGTAATGTTACTTATGAAATCACCTGGATTTTGTTCTAGTTGAAACTCTACGTTCTCCGCCATTTCTAGAACAGGGGTGTTATCTTCTGGTTTAATTGTCTGATCTACACAATCTAATCTAGTCAATAATCTCTCATCCCTACTTAATGATGCAATAACTTCCTGAGAAGTTGCAAGTCTACCTATATTATAATTACTATGATTTTCTTGTTTTTCCTTAAGATATTCTTTCAGAGAAGAAAGAAGATCATCATCTCCTTCAAGGTCACTATATTTGATCTGTTCAAAAGCTGTATCTACAAGTTCTACTGGACCTATTAAATGACAAAGATGGTCATAAATGCTATCACCAACTTCCAGAGAAGACTCTTTACTATTAGAATCAATGATGCAGCTTTCAGTGGATCTAGATACTGAAGAGGTCTCTGTGGAACTCTGCAAGCTTGGCACATGACGGGATGAACTGTCAATGACAGGAACTGCACCTTTGGCTCGTTCAACAGTGAATGGCTCCAAGATGTCAGAGGTGCTGCTACTTCGTGGCAATGGTTGTTCCTCATTCAAAGGACCAAAAACTTCATTTCCAGTGTCCTCACTTTGTGAAAAATGTCTGACTCTAGTTGTTCGGGGAAGTATCTGGGCATCATCAATGTCTGTAAAATAGAAAAATTATGTATTGTGGGCATACACAAAATAAGTATTCATTCATGTACTCAACATACATGCTTTAAAATGAAGAGTTTAGATTTGTTTGCATATGGAAAATGATCTAGTAAATACAAACATGCTATTTTAAATGGGTACAAACTAGTGTAAAACATATTGCCAATGAATTTATTTTAAACATTAAATATGAATGGAAACAAATAGGGCCATGAAATACTGGAAGTGCAATTAAACGATAGAGCTGTGCCAATAAGTCAAGTAATTAAAAAGTTTGTCATGTCAATTTTTTCTCACATTCAGGTTCTAAAGCAGAGAGAATCAAAATTTTAGTATGTCTTTTAATACAAGAAGTAGATAGAAACATTATAGTATAGAATCTGGAAGCATACTGAAAAATTTACAGATATTTTAAAAACAAAAATAAACAACAAGGGAATAAATTCATTATCAGCTTCCAAATCCAGGGACATTCCAGAAGAGGAAAACAAAAACAAAAACCACCTTTAATATAGTTTCCTTTAGTACCTTTTACTGTCTTAAGACTTTGGGTTTCCCAATTTTTAGGTTCTCATAGTTTCCCTTCTGAGTAGGACAAATGTACCTTTTTTTCCCTTCTATAAACAGTGTTTGTCTTCTGTTTCTATAAAAGTAGAAGGGTGCAGCTGTCATTTAAAATTTGAAATGCCTGACAGACAACCAGATAACAATATGCAAGAGGCAGTCGACATTTCAAGACTGGAACTCGGAGAGAGACATTATGGCTAGATATATGGATTTTGCCATCATTAATGACAAGATTATAACTGATCCCACTGGAGCTGATGAAATCATCAAGAGAAAATAGAAGAAAAAAAGGAGCTTAGGACAATGGGAACTGATGGGGAGGAATCACACGCTTAATGGACAAAAGAAAAGTAACAATGCAGCAACAGGGAAGGAGAGAGTATGCAGGAAGAGAGGGTGGTCAACAGTAGCAAACCGCAGAATGAGGACTCAGAGAAGACCAACAAATTCAAAAAATTAAGACATCTTTGAAAACTTTGGAGACATCAGTTTCAGTTGAGCAATAAGATTTGGAAGCCAAATTCCAAGAAGTTGAGAAGTGACAGGAAAAGAAATAGAAGTAACAAGCGTTGAAAACATTCTAAAAATTTGGCTGTGAAAGATACAGTATAGTAGTGGAGGGCATGGGAGGATCAAATGAAAGTTCTATAAGGAAAGGGATGGGATAAGAAGAACTTGGACATGTTTCTAGACAGAAGGAGAAAAACAATGGATAAGAACAGACTGAAGATTATAAAGAGAATGGATGGAGCGAATCTGGAAGAGACAGAAGTAGGGGATGAAAACAAGGACTTAAACAGAAAGGGGTGGTCTCAGCAAAGAGTTACCTTTTCTTCAGGAATGAAGCAAAAAATGAAAGGATGTGATATGATATAGCAGAGTAGTAAGAGGTAGTGGAGGGGAAAAGCATACAAGATCCAAAATCTGTATTTTCTTAGTAAGAGGTGATATACTATGCTGAGAGGGAAGTGACTGCAGGTACTATAGGGGATTTCAAAAGGTAAGAAGGTTCTGAATAGCTATTAAGAGAATGAAAGTCAACTAATGCAGAACGAAGATTAGCAAGCATTTAGCTGTAAGGGTCTATCTGATAGAATTCTGTAGTAGATGCAAAAGGAATGATTCTGCCACTTTTTTCCAGCAGTGTTCAGAAACCCTCAAGTAGAAGAGATGATAGTGAAGGTAAACACAGGGTTGGAATTTGGCAAAGCGTGAGGCAGCAATGATGAAGCAGGATGAAGCAGCAAGAGATTCATGAACAGAGGACAGTGTACAGTTGAACTGATCAACCACACGGGTAAGATTATGAAGAGAAGGAAAAGAGGCCACAGAACAGATGATAAAACTAGGAGAAAAGGTAAGGAGTAAAGAGGGATTAGAGACCATGATGAGGAAAAACAACAGGTTTGGGAGGAGTGAAGCACAGGAAGAGATCAAAAGATAGGGAGTTATGACCAGAGAAAAGAACGTCCAATATCATAGCCGAGTTACGGAATATGATAAAATATGTGTTTACCACTACAGATGACTTAAGTGGAATGACAATGTAAAAGTTAGAGGAGCTGAAGGCTGAGAAAGTGGGACAAAGGGTAGGAAGTTCAAGAGGAAGGCCCTGGATATGAAGGTAAGGGGTTGGGTGGAAACAGTGTGAGCAATGTGCTGAATTCGTTGAGAAATCACAGAAAATGACTTGGAGACCAGCATATGACTGCAGCGAGAATCTGGAGTAGCTGATGCAGACCAATAAAACGAATTTCAAAGAAGGAAAAGCTGCTAAGAGATGGTGGTAAAGAATGATGAAGGAAGTGACAATGATGAGTATGCCACCTACTGAGGTTTCCATGAATAGACTAAACAGCATGAAATGAAACGGCACAGGAAAAAGGGATATCTGTTAATAATGAAAGAGGTTCAAATGGCACAATGGAATGGAATTCCTGGGAGATATGTACAAGGGGGAGGACAAAGATGGACACAGATGAAAAGTAAGAATAGATATCTGAATCAGCAAATAGTAATTCTGAATCACTGCAATATGTAGAAAAGGCACTGGAAGTTTTCCAATCACAAAATGAGAGAAGATTAAGTGCTATCCCCTTTAGCAAGACAAGGCACAGTAATGATCATCTATTAAGCATTTGCTATGTGCCAAACACTCAGCTAAGTATCGAGCATACAAATACAAGCAAAAAGAAAAATAGTCCCTGCTCTCAGGGAGCTTACATTCTGATGGGGGGGAGAGGAAGGGGAGATACACAACACATAAAAGGGAGCTGAAAAGCAGGCACTGGTGGGGAGAAGGTAAGTGAAGGTACATGTTAGAAAAGTTAAGAATCATAGGCACAACCAGAAAGGGTATGAAGCATGGCTGGCTTGAACCTATACTCAAGACAGAGGCCTTTGCAGTAACTGACCACTAGGAGAAGGGGATTGGCAGAGCAGAAGGATGTTCCAGGGTTAAGAGGCCTCAGGCACTGAGGTATGTTCGGGGGGGGGGGGGGAAGACGACGGGGGGACAGTAGTTGAGTTGGGGTTTCATTGAAGACTGCTTTACTATGGGAGGAGTGTTATCAGCTTCTCCACTCCATAACTTCAACCACTTAAGAGCTGGAAGTAGAACCAACAGGGTACCTAGGTCAATAAATCCCTGGTATTCAGGTGTCTATGGAGTGACTCACACTTGGTTTGAAGCTTTGGGGATGATGAAGATGAGGGAACTCAACTAGTTAAGTGCCGATTAAGATGCTGCGCTAAGGTACTGGGGGAAACAAAGACCAAAACTAAATCCCATATTCAAGAAGTTTAGTAAATAAAAATATACATGAAGAAATTTCAGGGGGTAGAGGGAACACTAACTAGAATAATCAGGAAAGGCCTTTTGGTAAAGGTGACATTTGAGTCAAGCTTTAAAGGGAGTAAGAGGTTAAAAAATGTGGAAAAAAGAGTAACACTGCAGATAGAAGGAACAGCCTGTTTAAAGACCCAGAGACAGAAAACTGGAATTCCATATACAGGGAAGAAAAAGTAGCACAATTTGGCTAAAATATAGTACGTGTGATGAAGAGTAATGTGTAAATAACCTGGATAGACAGGCTAGAGTTAGATTTTGAAGGGCTTCAAATGTCAAACAAAGATTGCATTTTATCACAGAAGGAAGAGCCAGTAAATCTTGTTGTGCAAGGGAGTGACATGGTCAATAACATGTTTTAGGAATGTCAATTTGGTAGTACTATTGGTATCCTGACAATCAAGAGCTCTGATGAATATGTTTTTAAGACCTCAGATGGATGCAAGTATCCTATATTCCTCAACTGTTTCTAGCTCCCAAACACTCAAGAGCTGATAGACATGAAGATCTTTTGGCATTGTGGTGCTTTTATATAGACAGCAGATGGCAAATGTAGTGATTGGGCCCCTGGGACTAGGATGTTCAGCACCAGATCGGTAGCTTTACTCCAAGAAAGCAAAAGAAGAGTTGCATCCAAAAGCTGCCCTGAATATGTGGAATACTTACTTTGCTTCCTAGTTCTCAGACACATAGGGCCTATTTAAAAACAAAATGTTATTTTCAACTTACTATTCAACTAAAGCAAGGCAGTCATCCAATCAACCAATCTTAGCAACACACAACAAAAAGTCATCCAGAAAATTTAGTGTGAATTCTCCACATAAATTATTAAGTGCCACAATTCAGGCCTTGAGATACATGTCAGAGGTTTCAATAATAACATTCCTTTGGATATAATCCAGGAAGAATTAACTCCACCAAATTCTGCAGAGATTATAACACTCTAGTGTGCTAATGCTTGCTAAAAAACATGTAGTCCTGAACTTTGCCCAAAAGTAAAATACATTTCAATTATATTTATTTTCTGCATGTATGCAGTGGGTTGGTTTATTTTTTTAATTTTAATATTTTCCCACTAAAAAGCAAATGTTAACGTTTGTTTCTTACACTTTTGAGTTCCAAATGCTCTCACCTTCCTCCCCCTCTCCCATTGCTGAGAAGGCGGGCAATTTAATAAAGGTTATACACACACAGTCATGCAAAACATTTCCATATTACTCATGCTGTGAAAGAAAACACAGACAAAAAAGCCCAAGAAAAATAAAGTAAAATAACAGCATGATTTCCTATGCATTCAGACTCAATCAATTCTTTCTCTGGAGGTAGACAGTATTTTTCATCATAGGTCCTTCAGAATTTTCTTCGATCTTTGAATTGCTGGGAATAGCTAAGTAATTCACAGTTGATCATTGTACTTTTTACTGCTGATACTGTGTGTAAAGGTCTCCTGGTTCTGCTCACTTCACTCTGCATCACTTCATGTAAGTCTTTCCAGCTCAGCATTTCTCATAAAGGCACAATAATATTCCATCACAGTCATATACAACAACTTGCTTAGTTATTCCCCAACTGATG